CCGTTCCCCACAATCCCCAAGTCTACTCTACGACGAATGTCGTTCTCATCCACCTCCCACAAAAGGTTCTCATYGAAGTCGATCCCCGCGTCGAGGAGGATGTTGTGGAGAGTGCACACTGCCACGAATTGTTGTGGCAAGGTCTCCAGGTTCGTCTTGTGGGTGCGCAAAAACAGACGCCACATGCACTTCAGTCGCCCAAATGCCCTCTCCACACACCCCCGCGCCACCTTCTGCCACGTGTCGAAGCGCTCCTCGTCAGGATGTTGGTCGATTCCTCCGTACAGCTGCACGATCCATGGACAGGCAACTGGATAACCGTTGTCGCCTAGCAGGTAACCTCGCGTGACGACACCGTGCGACAGATTCTCCGGAGGTGCGTCGAACAGCTCGCCAGCTTCTGCACGCCTCCACAGCTGGGAATTGTGTAGGACGCGGACATCATGCACGCTTCCCGGGTATCCGATGTGGACGTCGAGGATCCGCAGATCCAAATCCACCACCATCTGCGCCTGCACGGAGAACTTCTGTTTGCGGAAATTGCGGTCGTAGTAGTTGTCGGAAGGTGCGCCGGCGGGCTTGTCAATGCAGATGTGTGTACAGTCGATCGCGCCGAAGCAGTTCGGGAAACCCTTGTCACGGAATGCGCGTAGAATCTGCGCATGTCTACGGCCAATTGGCCACTTGATAGCGTCGGGGTACGCCTGCAGCAGCGCCGAAGTGACGTCGCGGACGACCTGCAGTCCAGTTGCCCTGCCGATGTCGAAGGCTGAAGTGCCGCTCTCGTACGTCTCTCCTGACGCCCACCTGTACAACGCGAAAGCGATCACCTGCTCCACTGGCAAAGGCATCCTGTAGTGCGTCACCTTCTTCTCCACGTACGCGGCGCACGCGGCAACGATCTGCCTGAACATGGCCAACGACATGCGCAACTTCTGTCGGTAATACTCGTCCGTCGCGTCATCACAGAGGCGGAGATCCTCCCATGTCCCGCCAGTCCGTCGTTTAATCCACCAACGCGGGGTCCGTCGCGGGAAAACGCTAGATGACAGCGCGACGCACAACTGGACGACTGCCTCACACATGGCCACGCAATCCGGCGCTTCGGCAATGCGCTGCAACAGCGCTCTTCGTTTTCAGAGCTGTGTCAGCATGTCGCTTGAGGACGAGGACATGCCGCCCATCGTGTTCACGACGACGGCAGTAACCGCCATCGCGACCGTGTCGATCTCCTCTTCGCGCAGACCATGCCCGCTGACGCGAAGATCCATCTCTGGGAATCTTCCTGCCCGAAGAGCGTGACGCCTGCCACAACCGCCGAAGACACGCCCGCTGCTGAACCAAGTGAAGAGAGACACGCACGCCGGACCCGTAGATGCGCCCGCTGACGTACGCTGCAACAGAAGATCGCGTGCGTCGGAGTCCACAGGACAGCACACACGGCGGAGGTGAAGATGCGCCTTGCCAGAAGTTGCCCCCGCTGCTCACAACTCGCGTGGAGTCGGAAGATGGATACCCGCGCCGAACGCTTCGCCAGCGCCGTCTTTTGTGCGTCAGATGCGTCGCCCGGCCGTCCTCCGCCCCTGCCGCCTTGCGTCCGCGAAAATTCGAATTTGAATTTTTGAAGTTCGGGGTGACCGCGCTTTTCACCCACCCCTCCTCGCCCGCCCAAGGCCTCCGCAGTGTGTACCACGGACACCAGCCAGGACCCGGCGGACATCGGCGACACGGCTGCGTATACGAATATGAGAACGGGCCGCGGGAGACCTTTTAGGACGAATCCTAAAAGACGATTTTTAGGACTGCATGTAACGACGCCACACGAAATCCTAAAAATCCTTTAGGACTCGTCCTAAAAATTTTAGGATTTTTTTAGGAGTGTCTAACGAGACCCTTAGTTTGAAATGGGCAAGAAAAGACGAAGTGGCGCGCTGCCCATGTCATTGTTTGAGTTTCAAAATGTGCAAGTTTGTTTAGCAGTGGGGGGGGGGGGGGGGGGGGTGAAAGTTTTTTTTTTTTTTTTTTTTTTTTGAGCAGATAAAGACAGCTCTATTTTTACCCCCTTAAACGGAGAACCGGGCTCGGTGTCCCTTAACAAAGTTGTGCTGATACCCCCAGGGGACGGCATCACCTGCCGAACCCATAGGGGGTATCACAGTAGCCACATGAAAGGACAAATGTTACAGTTTATCCAGTACAGGTTGTTTTATTTATTATTATTTATTTATTTATTTATTTTTTTTCGCAGAAAAACTGCACGAGCGGTTGCTAGCGGTGTTGATAAAAGCAGACACCTGTAGCAATGTCGGGGAGGCTAGCTTGCTATGAAAGACTCTGTGAGGGGGGGTGAAAGTTGAAACTGCGACCGTTTTTTTTGGAGTGGCGCGCAAATGTAGATTTAGTCGCGGCTCTTTTTTTAATTTGCCCTGTTATTTTCGAGAACTGCTGATACTACCGTCTGACCCCTGGCCGGTATCGCGCACCTGCTGTAGCAGGTATCGCACCTGCTGGTGGGTGCAGCTCCCGCATGTTCCCTCGTTGGAGGCTTGAGCAAGGAATGTGGCTGCTACAGGGTTCCCCGTAATACTATAATGACAATAAAAAAGGCCTGAAAGGACGTCCTGTCCAGATTTAACAGGTCATTGAATTGGTCGGGCGACTTTGAAAAAAAAAGAAGAAAAAAAAACCGCCTATTTGTTTTTGCAAAAAAAAAAAAAAAAAAAAAAAGCTAGGCGTGACCCAGGAGCCGTGAACTAAACCTCTTGCCATGGGTGCTGCGCAAGCAGGGTCTGTACGATCCTTACCAGCATCAGCCCAGGGGAGTGCGCAGATCAGATGACCATGCGTTATGCGAACGCCCGCCCGCCGGTGTCTTGCGCAGAGGTGCGGAGTTTTGAACCGAACCCACGACCTCAGAGCACAACGCGCACTTCCAACCGGTTCCCTAACCACTGAGTGACAGACCACCTACAGTCTTCCCCCGAATACAACGTACGGTCATTATAGCTGAATTTGGTGTATCTTTCGGTCTAGATTCAGCTATAATGACCGTACGTTGTATTCGGGGGAAGACTGTAGGGGCTGGTGGTTTTAACGGTCGACGGGTGGACGGCCTGGGGCGTGGTCCCACTAGGTAAGAGGATCGGATTGAATGCCTGAATCTGGACGTGTTTGTCGAAAGGTGCAGGAAATCGAGATTGAACTGCTTTTCTGCATCTCTGCGTAAAACACGTCCACATTCAGGCATTCGATCCGATCCTCTTTGCTAATGGGACCTCGGCCCTGGAGATGTTATCAAGGAACTGACTGACTTCATCTCCTTCTATAGGGATCCAAACTCACGGAAAAAAAAAAGAAAAAGAAAAAAAAGACCGTCTGTACTCTAACAGTTCATGCCACTTGGCCGGTTCGTTTTTATCTTTTTTTTGTCAAATAAACATCAGTATCAAGGATACTATTTTAAGGGTATACTCACACTAGCACTTTTCCACTTATATCTGGATGGAATTGAAGCCAGATGCATACATGTTCGGCCGTAAATGAGGTCAGTTACATTTAAGATCGTGCTAGTCTGACTACGCCCTGCGAGTGTGGTCCGCATGGGGAGCTACGGTAGTCCCTGCCTGAAGGCTGAATGATGTAACACCTAGGGTCAGGTCCCACTAGCAGCGTTGAGTTTCCTCAACGCCTGAATCTGGTCGTGTTTGTGGAGATGTTCAGAAATGGTGTTGAGTTTTTTTTTTTTTTTTTTTTTTTTTTTTTTTTTTTTTCCGGAAAGCATTGTAAAATTTATTGCGAAGCACCAATAGGACGAGGCTGGGGAGTCGCGGGGATCTCACAATTCAACCCGGAGTTATCCTGGCAGCCTCAGCCAGTTTAGCTTACGAGCAAAGCTCGCTGTATCACCAGTCAGCTCAATGTCACTCCTTCTGAAAACTGGAAACCGGGTCCAGCATCCCGACCTACTCAACAACTTTCCAAAATTACCTTGAAGCACAGTAAAATAAGGGGAGAAGTACTAGACCCCAGGGGCCTAGTTGCACTACTCGCCATCCGTCACATTTCGTGGCAGATGCATGGAGAGTGAAAAATATGAGAATCGTGTCGAACTCGAGGCCTGGTTGCACTCTAGATTTCATATACAGAAAAGTTAAAAAAAATTGTCTCCCTGATGTCGACTCGTGAAGCCCTGCACTCTCTAGAAAGTTGTTTTGTGGAGAGGACCGAAGACCACCCTCCACAAACCGTCGTGCACAGGCGGGGAAACCGAATTCACTCTCCACAGCTTGTGTCGACAGTGTGGCGAGCCGTCTGACACATTTTGCATTCGCCAAGTTTGGCGAGTAAGTGCAACCAGGCGCCTACTCGCCAAACTTGGCTTATGGCGAGTAGTGCAACTAGGCCCCAGGTCCAGCATCCTGAATCAACATAAGAACCAAAAACAATCACTGAACTTCAGAGGGGGACTTCTGACAACTTAGAAACCTCTGTGAACTTACCATTATCAGCTTTAAGACCCACTTTTCCCTCAGAATCGAGGTCCCTGAAGTTTAATGCCTACACTTCCGGCATTCTGCCATACTATCGACTACCAAACAGCGCTGAAACATCTGCCCATATTGTTCACGGCTCTATCAAGCGAGCCTAACTTGATTATGCAACCGTTCTGCAAAGGAGGGTGTGTCTTGCAGCCATGAAGCCAGATCCCCAGTTGGAGAAAGGGAGGCGAAACCTATGTCTTTAGCCCAGGTTTTAATAAACCAGATAAATTTTTTTGTCCTCTGATCTGCCCGGATTGTGAAACGAATCTCTGATAAAATGCGGTTGATCAGGTGACAAATATCGTGCTTTTCATATTTAAACAACAATTCATTACACCCATACCATAAGATTTCCATTATAATACCTCTGCACACTAAGGCCAGGTAGTAGGGGCCGGACGAAACAGAGCCTGACTCTGAAGATTTACGATATAGAATGAAGTTGTTCGACTAAGTTAATGGACGAAACAGAGCCTGACTCTGAAGATTTACCATATAGAATGAAGTCGTCCGACCAAGTTGTTGGACGAAACAGAACCTGACTCCATCTCTCCTTCCACCATTCTCAAATGTTAACTGAGGTAGGGCAGTACACCCACAAGTGGGGTGCAGTTTCCCACGCCCAGTCACATCTCATGCAGTTATCTAAGATATCCATGTTTCTTGAGGTCAGCCATGTGGCTGTCGATGTGACCTGCAGCGATTGAAGCCACATTAGACCCGCATTTTTCTGTGGAGGTTGCTTTTTTAAGGCTTTCCATAGTTTGAACAGATCGGCATCCTTTACCATCTCGGCTTGTCGCTGTGCCAGTCTCTTTCTGGCTGTAAAAATTGGTTTCTCCTTCTTGCAGGCTCTCAAAATCTGGACCCCAATCTTTGGGTTGTAGCCAATTAGAGGAGTGGTTGTTGCTTATGGAGAAGACTCCTTCCATCCCAGCATTAACGGCTCAATTCTGATTTCCTCTACCTTATTTGGGAGCAAAACACATGTTGGGAATCCTTTTGATTGTGTTTCCCACACTCTTACCTCCTGCCACCCATCTGTACTAGGTAGTAAGGTTTCTTCTTCGAATTTCATCCGGCTTCTTTGTCCTGGTATTGCCTGCCCCCGAGTCTTCCAACGTTGAACTCTAGTCCCGACCCTCAAGTCCGGGCCCAGGACCTTCCAGACCGATGTAGAGTCCGATAGGTCCTGCAACCATGATCCTTCTGGAAACTGCTCATCTGACTAAGCGGTCCGAATCCAATTGTATGGGATAGTCTCCTTCATTACTCGAAAGTGTAACAAACCGATGTAGAGTCCGATAGGTCCTGCAACCACGATCCTTCTGGAAACTGCTCATCTGACTGAGGGGTCCGAATCCAATTGGATGGGATAGTCTCCTTCATTACTCGAAAGTGTAACAAACCGATGTAGAGTCCGATAGGTCCTGCAACCACGATCCTTCTGGAAACTGCTCATCTGACTGAGGGGTCCGAATCCAATTGGATGGGATAGTCTCCTTCATTACTCGAAAGTGTAACAGAATACTCTGCAACCTTGGTAGTAGAGCACGTAGATGATCATTTGATATCCAGTTGTTTTCCTCTGAGTCTCAAATGTCTCTGAGTTGGATCACTCCCTTTTCCACCCACG